ACCATCCCTCTTACAACAGAATATGCCAAATACTTCCACTCCCGCCCGCCCCGCCCACTGCTGCGCTCTAACTGGCTGACTTTCTGCCACTCCCCCCCGCCCCCCTCGCCCACTGCTGCGTTGTGCCTCTTGCCTGTCACACCCACCAAAGATACTCTTTCTACTCGGCGGGGCTGCTCCCTGGATAAGGATGACAGCGGGCAGCGCCTGGGGATGTACGTCCCAACCTCCTCACCCTTCGCCACCCGTCGGCCATCCTCTTTACGGTAAAACGAAAATTTTCATTTTTTTTTTTAATTATGTCTTTTTTATTAAATTAAATTTTCTGTTTAATTTATTCAAATAACTGATTTTAAAAATATTTCATCTTTTTAGAAATTTATACAAAAAATTATTATTTATATATATAGTTTTACGTAGAACTAACCCTTATTGGATATGCAGTACTTTTTTGAGTGGTATCACTTTCACACGCACTAACCCTGCATGTGAGATTTCACGTCAGTCAGAGGAGAGAGAACGAAACATTTTTTTATAAAAGTACGGAAATTTCTCTTTAGATATTGCATTTTAAAAACTTTGAGAGAAAATTAAAAAGAACTGCTAGCTGTGGACTTGAGCCATTACACTATATTAAATGCTTTAATATTGATAAGAATCCCACAAGAGTCACAGTAAAAAAGGATGTCTATAAATTACTAATATGCATGAGGTTTCACACGTATAAAATATTAGTTCATTAGATACATCATTTAAAAAGTTGATAATGTTTATATTAATCGCATGACTAACATATACTCACTTTTAAAATCATGGCCAGTATTCGTATAAAAACGACATCATAACACACATACAAAAAAAAAAAAAAATCATCTGATCAAGCATATATTATTCCAATAATAAATTCATACAATGACATTTTGGTAAGATATACGCTTGAAGAACGATATGAATGAGTATTATTATACTAATTCACGTGTTGCTTTAAGCTACATGACAAAGACAAAATTATAGGAGTTTAGATAGATCCGAATTATAATTAAGGCTCCTTTGTGTTTTGATATGTATATGATTTTGATTATTATTTTGTAAAAGTTCTAAAGCATTTTGTAAATGAATTCATACTTAAATGTATAAAACTTTATTTACTTAAATGTATAATTTTAAATGATTCAATTAACGAGAATTTTATTTTACGTAAATAAAGCAAGTTGTTGCGCTCATATGCATATACTGTCGTTATTGATATCGTAGTTTATGATCATTAATTAACAAGTCGATCGTCCATATTCATATAAAAACGTGTCACAATTGACTCTTATATATAAAATATAAGTTCATTAATTATGAAATAAAAAATGGAAACAAAAAAACATAAGAAAATTAAACAACATTCTTAACTAAGATCAAAGCCTACAATTTTCATTAACATATATGAACAAGAGAAAAAAAAAACCCAAAAAATTAATAGCCATTGATAAACCCAACAAAAGATCTCAACGGTTAAGATTGGTTGTTAGGTTCAGCCAAAACCCTAGCGTAGTTTCAAAAGACGAACTTGTGTAGACCAAACATATCATTAGCCTGAAGCCGAATACGACATCGTTTCAATACTCAAGGAGTTCGAGGCTTCTTCGGGCTTCCACCATTATGATGCAAAGGGTCAGGTCCGGACGGTACCCTCCGCAACTGATCCCACTCCACCGACGGCCGCCGTCTCTCTCCGCCGTCAACTTCCAATTCCTTAACCATCTCTCGAAGCATCTGTAACGTAAAAAAATGAGTCAAATTTGTTGAGGAAAGTTGTGTTCATCTCTATCGGTACGAAGCCTTCTAAAAAGCCCAAAGCAAAGCCTATAGAGCGTATGCTCAAAGTAGACAATATCATGTCATTGTGGAGAGTGGTGTTCATCTAAATAACTAGGCCGCTGCATCACCCTTCGGCAAGTAAATTAAAATAATATCGGACACCTCGACAGCCTAAATTCAATATATGTTCATCTAAATAACTAGGCCACCACATCACCCTCCCGCGAGTAAATTAAAATAACGTCGGACACCTCCAACCACCCTATGGCACATACGTGTGTCACAGTATGGGCAAGCGTGCCGAGACGAGTGTCTCTAGCGACTTCCTTTGAAATGGGTTTTTCAAGAACAGTACCGAGTGGCCTGGGTGTGTCGGTATTGCACCCCAGTCCGCGTGTTGGATATTGCTACATATAGATCATATCGATGGAGATCGAGATGATAAGATGAGATGCGACTTTACATTAAGAGACTTTGACCCCAAGTAGAGGCCATAAGAATCTATACTTCAAGTGGACAAAATCATAGACAAAATTAACAAAATTGAATAGGAGGTAGTACATAGAATTTGCATAGGTCTGTCTCAAAAACCTTACCTTCCGGGTCTGCAGCGCTCGGAGGAGAGGCGGGGTATTGGGAACGCAGCGGCGGCGCGTGAGTGTGGAAGCAGAAGAGAAATTGTGGGAAAGGAAGAAAATGAGAAGGAGAAGGGAGAAGATGAGGTTAGAGGGAGCCATTAAAGAAGGTGTGGGAAGAAGAAGAAAAGGAAGGGTAAATTTATAGAAGGGAGGGAAGGGAAGAGTCAATGATTGCTCAAGCAGCCATTTGTGGCGAAATTATGATTAGTGACTCAATATGACAAAAGCACGATGGTGACCATCAAACGCCGATATGCATCATCATCATCATCGCTCCCCCGACCTCTTCATTTTCTGTCACTGTCTATGTCTATCCTCCATTAAGATCCACCCTATTTATTGTTATCTTTTTACAAAATATTAGTACATTTTAGTTAATAACCCCATTAAATGTTTGTTCTTAAATTTATGCTTTTGATGCTCCACTATAATTCGAGTGGGGCAATTCAGACGAGCAACATATGTGACATACCAAAAAACAAAATTACCAAAATGCCCCTTCCAAGGTATGATTCATTAGACCCTATCTGACTCATAATTCATTTGAATCTTGTCGTCTTTATTCTAGGGTATAATTCACTTAACGGGGTTATTCGAGGTTTTAAGTGCGTTTAGCCAATCAAATATTTCACTTTAATCCTCATAAGTCCTTATGCGACATGCGTAAAAGAATTGGGTGCCCTAATTAAATATCGGGCTCTATAATGGATGTACCAGGTATGAATCAAGTCATTATGGTCTCTCTAATAAGTTCCAACGTTCATACATACGCATTCGTAGGGTTTCCATCACTTATTATGCTTTCTAGGGGTCAACTAAGCCATATCTTCCTAAGCACACACATCAAGCATGAAAGGATAAAATCATCAGGCATGAAAGGATAAAATCATAAATGTCAAAGTTCCAATAAATCAAGCAAGAGACCCCAATCAAAATAGCCCAAACTCATAAAACATGAAACATTGCTAAATCAGTCAAATTATTTTGCAATTTCCTACTTAAGTCATGCTCATAACCCGTATGAATCTCATTCTACTAGGTTTAATTCACTAATTCCTTAGCGTATTTGGTCTTAAGACATACTAGCATTCATTTTTCTTTCGAGTCTTAACACATTTTTATAAGTATTTCTTCGAGAAAAATTGATTGGATACTTATAATGCCTTAGAACAAGCTTGCATACAGACACATCTTGTATGAGTACCTTAGGATCAAAACCGCATTTATTTGATGTTAGAGTCAGATTGACTACACAATGCCCTAGATCAAGACGTCTCCAATAGAATGAGTATCTTAGGAACGTGAGCGTGAGCGAATATCAAGAATTTAGATCCTAATGCTCTAAGACTAAAGAAGACTTGAGGAATCATAATAGAGTACCCTTGAGTTGATAGTGTAGTACATCGAAGCGACCAGGTGCCTCTATTGCGTGTGGAAACAGACATTGGTCTCATGAACAGGCTCATTATACTGCAAAACCGGCCTTGAGAGGGGCAAAGGACCATACATGTGTCTTGCACTTTTTCGTTTTTATTTTGATTTGAGTGATTCAAAATTCATTGGAATCGTCATTCCAAGCTTTATACTTTGAACACTTCAAAATATTGAAATTATTAATAAATTAAAAGCATTTTTGTTATCATCAAAACATTAATTAATTTGAGATGAAAGGTCGTTCAAAGTGGAAAACATTCGAGAGTTGTGCGATCATAGAGGGGATCGTCCCAGGGCACACTCTGTTTCGTATTTTCGGTCTTTTATATTTTGTTTGTAAATGTATCCCAAATTTGATCTCCAGGCCTGCAGTGGGCCCCACTCCTTTTGTTTTAATATATTATAAAACGGGCTTGGATTGGGGGAGATTTGAGATCGTAGAACAATATGGGCCGGCCCAATTTGTTCATAATGTGAGAAGCAAGACTTGAAGAGTAGCAAGACCTTAATAAACTATATGACATATATAAGAATTCACATAGATTCTTAAATGATTTACAAATTTGAATATTTTATGTATTAAATATAAATGAAAATAATTTTAAATCGTGTATAATATAATCTAATTTGACATGGGACTAACAAGTCATACAACAATCCATAAGCTAACATATATTGTCGGTCTTCGTCCGCTAATGTATCGCTATCAGCCTCACAATTTTACGTGTCTGTGTCTACTAGAGAGAGGTTTCCACACCTTATAATGAATGCTTTAGAGGTTTCTGTCTACTAGAGAGAGGTTTCCACCTTATAATGAATGTTTTGTTCAACTCTCCAACCAAACCCCTCCCCTTGGGGCCCAACGTCTTCGTCCGCACACTGCCCAATGTCTGCCTTTGATACCATTTGTAACCGCCCAAGCCCACTGCTAGCAGATATTTTCCGCTTTAGCTCGTTACATATCGCTCTCAACCTCACGATTTTAATATACTAAGAAGAGGGTTCCACCGCCCGATGTTTGGCTTTGATATCATTTGTAACCGTCCAAGCCCACCGCTAGCAAATATTGTCCGCTCTAGCCCGTTGCGTATTGCCATCAACCTCAACCTCAGACTCCACTTACAACGTGCTATAGTCAATTCAGCTCAAACCATCATTTAGTTAACAATCTAAATAGCAGCCAATTCAGCACAAGCTCTTGAACATACATCAATTTTAGATATGAATAGACATATGAACAAGCAAAACAGGTAAATATTAACATTTAGAGAAGGAGATTGAACCTGCTATCTCTTAGCATCCTCCAATTTCTCTTTATACAACTTCAACAATCCAGGAATCAGCTCCTTATGAGGGTCGATGAATTTGTCTAAGAATCGGCTTTCAGTAGACTCGAACACCATAGGAAGATTCACATCTTTCTTAATCAAACCCTTTGACAGCAAAACTTGATAAACAAAGCCTCTTGGCACAATCCTCTTCTTTAAACTAAGTGTAATCACAGCAGGTCGCTTTGCAACGTATGAAGTTTCACATCCAATCTTGTTCACAAAGAAATCCATTATGCCATTGATCTTGTCCTCCGAAGCCATCATGCACCATGGATGCCTTCGAAAAGCGACGAGAATCTCTTCTTCAGGCCATCCCCATTTCTTGTAAACTTCAACTTTTTTTCTCCATGTACATTTGCTCATTGCTCGCATAGCAAAAACAGCAAGAACAAACTTCAATCGCAGAGGGTTGAATCCCATTTCCTTAACGTCCTCCACAATCTCCTTGAATCGGACGGTGTTTACCAAGAACACTCGTGGTTGGTACTGAAGAATGGTTGCAATGTTGGAATCAGGAACTCCAATTTGTATTAGAGTTTCAACATTGGGACGAACAGTTTGGAGATCCCAAGTGAGAATACCTAAAGACCGTTTTATGGATGCGATAGCCTTCTCCTTAGTTTGAAGTAGCACTTGAATGTAATCAAAAGCTGGAATGATTTTTCTGTCTAAACTTCGCGTTAAAATCGAAGGAAAACCACACACTAATTTGGCAATCTCGGGGGAAGAAAGGCCTTTCGATTGAAAGAACAACAATTTTGGCAATAGCGTCTTTTCGGGGTTCGCTGAAAGAACTTGAGGGAATTTCTTGACAAGCTCAGAGATCTGTGTTTTTGAGAATCCATGATTCTCAAAGAGCACGATTACAGGCTTCTCATCGTTCTCTGGCCTGACAGAATTAGAATCCGGCGATGCAGATTTTGGAGATGATGCGATCTCAGAAGAAGTCGATGAGTATCTGAGAGATTTCAACGGACTTTCAGAAAATCCGTGAGCAAAGACTGATGATGGCTGCCTGACTATAATGATCCGACGAAGCAACAACATGACTGTGAAAACGCGAGGGGAAAGAAAACCTGCTTCCTCTTGAGAAGACGAATCAGAGAAACACGAATGCCTCGCAAGAGTAACGAATAATGAAAACGGGAGGCGGAGGAGTGGCAGCGAGCGGCGGGGAAGGGGGAAAATGGGAGTCGGAGGAGTGACAGCGAGCGGCGGGAAGGGGATTATGAGAGAATGGCAGCCGGAAAGAATAGGAGGCGGGTTAGGGTTTCATATATACTATCATGAAGACTAAATATAAGATTAATTGATTTTTTAAAAAAATTAAAATGTAATTGCCATATACTAAGTTGAATTTATTTAAATATTATTTATTTTTAATTTTAATTTATAGCTGGGTCAGCAAAATTTAAATAGTTGAACGAAAAAAAAATTTAAAAAAAATTAAAAAATTAAAAATTATTAATAGTTATTAATTTTATTAATTATAGTTTATTATTAATAATTAAAATTTTAATTTGAATCAATTAATTATACTAGAAAGATAAACCATACTAAACATAAATAATAATAAAAAGATGATATTAATCTTAAAAGTTAAATAAAAGTAAATGAATTGGATGTAGTGATTCTCAAGCGGTTCTCGATGTCTTAAACAATTTTCTTTTTATACTCTTTCCTGTTTGTGTTCGGACCCTTCCTTGAATTCGTTCAATTAGATGTTAATGTAAATGAAGCATAACTATAGATTGACTCTAAAATAACGTGTTCAAATTATAAGAAAACTCAAAGAGGCTACAATGACAGAATTTACGACTTTAAAATTTTGGATGAGAATTCGTTGTATGTATGTTATAGAAATTACCAAAATACTCCTAGGATAAGACTTCGAGATGCATGTTGGTTTTTATGCCTTCCGTAGATGTAGGAAGGGACTATGCCGGATTATAATTTGAGTTGGACATTTCAAATGAGTAAGCTATGTAAGATGTAAAGAATTACAAAAAAGTCCTTGAAACGTGCATATCGAATAATGGGAAAGACATGATCTAAAGATCCCTGTACCATTGTACGACTCTTGTTCGTTCACGCCAAAGACCAGAACCTACTTGATAATCTACGAGACAAAGAATAGCGATTGAGAGTATAAAAATACTCGGTAAGCAACGTACTTGTAGACTCTTAATTGTGGTCCTAGAGATAACTAATTCCATGGCACTATCATCTAGCTCTTTCTGACTCATAGATACCTCAACCTTTCCATTCTCGGGTATGATTCATTAGGCCCTATATGGCTAATAGTTCATTCGAACTTTGTCTAGAGGCATAATTAAACTAGCGGGGTTACTTGATGTTCTAAATGTGCTTAACCAATCTTGGTTCGCACAAGTCTTTATGTGATATGTGTACGAGAACTGGGCGCCCTAACCAAATCTCATTTACATAAGTCTTTACAACTCAAGTCCACCGCTAGTAAATATTGTCCGTTTTGGCCCATTACGTATTACCGTCAACCTCACGGTTTTAAAACGCGTCTACTAGGAAAAAGTTTTCACACATTTATAAGGAATATTTCATTCTCCTCTTCAACTAATGTGGGATCTCACAATCTACCTCCCTTGGGGGCCTAACGTTCTCGCTAGCACACCATCAAGTGACTGACTCTAATACCATTTGTAACAGCTCAAGCTCACTACTAGCAAATATTGTCCGCTTTGGGGAACGTTTGAAAGTTGCACAGTCACGGAAGGGGTCATTTTAGAGCACAACCCGTCTTATATTTTATTTGTAAATATATCTTAAATATATTGTCTTTTTAATCTCGGTATGAGATTCGGAGTCCGAGCTCTAATTTGGACAAAAACTCAAAATGGGATACCCATAAATACACACGTGGAATGATCAATTCTTGACCATTTTTTGAAATCCAAAGAAATAGCCTTCGTGGACAAAAGGTCTATTGAACACTTTTCACGAAGAAATTAAATTAAACAATTGAGATAAAAAATGAACTTGACTTAGGGAATACATCAAGGGGATGTAGCTCAGATGGTAGAGCGCTCGCTTAGCATGCGAGAGGTACGGGGATCGATACCCCGCATCTCCAAATTAGTTATTTCTTTTTCTAAATCTTTACGGCGGCCCAGTTGCCCATATTTTACGGCGTTCTTCTTGGACCTTTGGTGGGAACCCATTTAACCTCAAAGACAAAGGCCGATGAGGAAATCTTTTTTTTTTTTTTTAATAATATAAATAAAATATCATATGTTTTAATAATAGTTGTACAAAAAAATATTAAAATATTCTTGAAAGTAATAGAAAAAAGATCAATAAAAAGAATTAAAAAATATTTATGTATAAAATAATTATTACAATATTAATTATAGTTTATTATTATTAATTTGGATAAATTAATTATAATTCAACACAAAATACATCTAATTGAGAAAGAGAAACAATATTAAACATAAATAATAAAACAAACCATAAATAATTTTTAGAAATAATTTATTAAACATAAATAATAAAACATACCATAAACAAAAATAATTTATTAAACTTTTTTTTCCATCTTTTTATATATATTTTTTAGAAATATATTAATTTTAAAAAATCAATAGATAATTTTTTATTTTTTAAATAATATTTTAGAAACCATACCATAAATTAAATAATATTTCAGAAACAAAAACATAATATATTTATTATTAAATATGATTTCCAAAAACTCAAATTTTAATACATTATTCACATAAGCATATATATATTATATATATATATATACATCTATATTAATTCAATAAGAAAAAAAAGGGCTACCAATGGGATGTGGATTAAAATTTCTGCGTCTGATTCTATTTATCTGACGAGAAACTATCTTTCTCCACTCATTTGAATTTCATCATCCTTATTTTAGGGCATAATTCACCTATCGAAGTTACTCAATATTCTAAGTGTGCTTAACCAATCAAATACTCATCACTTTGGTTCGCATAAGTCTTTATGTGATATGTGTATGAGAACGGGTGCCCTAATCAAATCTCGTTCCCTAGGGTGGACCTAATAGGTATGGGTAAGTCGTACTATTAGAAACCTCATGGTGTCCCTAATAGGTTCCAACTTACGTTCAGATATGGGCATTCACAGGTTTTCCACTACCTATTAGGCTTTCTAGAGGTCAACTTAGACATATCTTCCTATACACACTCATCAAGCATGAAAGGATAAAATCACAAGTTGTTAAAAATGAGATACAGAAGCGAGACCGAAAGTACGATATTCATTAAAGTTCACAACGTTTAAATAGGATACGAGCTACCAACTAACTCCTACAAACAAGATAAAATATACTCCCAACCAACTCTTAAAAATAAGGGAAAAAATACTAAGTGATTAAAAATATATAAAATATACTCCGAGCTCGTTTGAGACTTTGATTTCTGTGATCTTCAAACTCTAAGTTCTTTGAAATTTTTGAATATGTCATAAAATGAACCAAGATTAAGGAACTAGAGAAAATTTTAGGATAATAGTTTTGAAAACGACCCAAAACGTCGTGTGAACAGTGATATCTTCTCCATATTTTCTCCAATGTTTTTCTTAATTTCTTCCTATTTTCGTATTTTTCTTGTCAATTTAAAAAAAAAACTTTATATATATATATATATATGTTAATTTCTTCCTATATATTAAAAAAAAAAAAAAAAACTTATTTCTGGTCAATTTTATGAAATTAAAAAATTAATTTTAATTTTCTTCATGTCAAGGGGATGTAGCTCAGATGGTAGAGCGCTCGCTTAGCATGCGAGAGGTACGGGGATCGATACCCCGCATCTCCAAATTATAATTTTCTTTTTCTAAATCTTTCCGGCGTCTCAGTTGCCCATATTCTGCTGGGCTGATGCAACGTCGTTATCTTTTGGGCCTTCGGTGGAGAGCCCATTAAGCCCAAATACAAAGACCGATCGAGGAAATCTTTTCTTTATATATAAATAAAATATCATATATTTTAATACACAATTTTTTTATTTATATAAAATTATGATATCATTATAATACAATATTAATATTAGTCATTTGATTTTCAAACCTTTTTATTATTATTATTATTATTATTATTATTATTATCATCATCATTATTATTATTATTATTTTACTTTTTAGTCTTTAAATTTTTTAGTTAATTCTATTTAGTTAAAAAAAAATGAAATTTAAATAAAGTATATCATATATATTTATAAATCTTGTACTATTATAATAATTTATTAATAAATCAATAAAAATAATTCCAAAAATATTTATGAATAAAGTAATTATTACAATGGAATATTTAATTTTATTATTATTAATTACAAGTTTAATTTAAATAAATTAATTATACTTGATATCTTACACACATTTTTCTTATCATATTTGTGTTCGTAAGCTCCTTTGAATTCGTTCAATTAAATGTTGATGTAAACAAACTACAACTACGTAGTCCTACCCCTGATAGATTGACTCCGAAATAATATATTCAAATTATAAGAAAATCGAAAGAAGCTACAATTGCAGAATTTATACCTTCAAAATTTTTATTTGTTCGCGTATGTCGATAAATTGAGAATATGATTCAAGTAATAAATGCTTGAGTTTCTTTTAGATCCCAACTCCAAAATAACATTTGCACGTAAATGTGTGTATATATATGTATATATGTATATATATTCCACTCATACTAATTCGAGAAAAGAAAATAGGTTAGGGGCAGGAACAGGAACAGGATGTGAATTATAATTTTTGTCTCCGACCTCATTTAGCTAGGAAAAAAATCTTTTCCACTCCATCTCCACATAGCCGATGGAAATATGATATGAGAAGAGGATTAGACTGAATTCTCTGTCCAAACCACCAAGGAAATTCCATCATCCACATAATTGCTTCTTCTCACCCTTGTTTTTCTCGCTTTAGATGTCCTAAACAGATTTGCAAATTATATTATGTTATAAAGTATGTCATACATTAGTTCTTGATTACGGTTTGGTCCCAGCATATGTCGCGATTTTTATAATTGTTTGACGTATGTGATGTTATGGGTATGCTATGATGTCAGATATGATAGATGCAAGCTATGTTATGTTATAAATGTATCGATTATGTTATGTTATCGATGTTGTATGATACATAAACCTCTATATATCATGTTATGTAATATATGTTATAAGTTCGCTCAATGCCATGTATGCATGTCTCATAAGACGTTA